CTCTATCCAACTAGACCGGAATTGGAACATCCCGATCCGAAGCTGGTGGGTTTCACCAGATCCCGTTGTAATGAGTTTCAAAGAAACCTTGGGAAAATATCAAAGTGTCTGATGAAATACAGGGTGAAATTATTGCCGAGTCTTGTCCTTTACATGCAGAAAGTGAGAGACATTCAGCCCCTGGGGTTCAATAACGCTCATGTAGGTTCTTTCTGAGTTGAAGGACTTTCGCGTGGGTAACCCCTTTTTGAGCACGAATCCCACTTGAAACCTGGCGCTCGAAAAAGTCTTTTTTGACCTCGGGGCTGAATGCGTCTGATGTACCGTACTCGTAGAGTGCAGTACAGTACAGGTATTATTTGCAGACAAAAGCACTTGTCTTGGCAGGTACTGTACCACAACGCAGCGGGGAAACAATCCATCGCTCCATCCCCTTTGGACGGAAAAAAAACTGAGAAGTTACCGGTGTCCTTAGTCTTAAGGCACTCTATTTTTTAGTGCGATATCCCTTATGTTTTTTTCTCAAAAGAGTCCGCCCAATTTTGTCTGATCAAAAGAAAAAAAAACGATTGTTGGTGTGTTTTATCCTCTGTCTGTCTCCCTGCTGAAGGACTCGTCTCAGATCCTACAAGTACCGGTAACCCATTGGACTAAATCATGATAGCTTTCCCGAACAAATGCAACAAAAAGAGACCCACCTGCGGCATTAGCAGAGGGAATGATGCGTTTTTTTCTCCTTTCGCCGTCTGCTGCACTTTAGGGTAAACGCCATGAAATGACCTGGCGCCATCCTTCACTCAAGAATCTGACCAACACAATGCAAAACGCCCTTGTGTCAAAACTCGGGTATTCTGCACAATAAGGACGGGTGCACCGGATGCCTCACTCAAGGGGCTCGACGCCACGAAAAGATTGTCGATACCCAGCTCGTATTAACCAGGCAGTGAGTACGCCACAAAGACCGGCGGCTGCCACATGGGAGTACCGATACAAGCATCGAAAAGAAAAAGAAAACTGTTATTTCGCTAGCCGCAAACCCTGATGTGGATCTTGGGTCTTAACGTGGAGTGAAGTGACTTTTATTCTTATGGGTGGGGGATAGTCCTCCCGCTAGACCGCTGAGCTCAAAGAAGGATTTATTATGGTAATGTTGATGTCTGGACGTCCCTTTCTGGTACCTAACTTATTCGGTTGGTTGGTTGTTGGTTAGACGTTAGTGCGCCCGTGTTGAGATAGCACGGTATGGTATCATACCCTAGTTCCGACACGATTCCTTGCTGGTTCCAAATCTTTGGTATCCTCTAGCGGTGATGAGCGGTCACGAATTTCGCTGGAACCGTGGATCGGGGTTTCATTCACTGGTACTCGAGTACGGGTGCTCGGGCATAAGCGTACTTGTACCGGGCGAAGATAACAGGGAAGAAGCACCCGGGCGTTGGGCCTCAAATTTAGGATGGGCGCTCGGATACGCGCGTGTTACTAGCCATACTCGATCGCATTCGTTTAATCCCTGTGTGCAGGTACTTGTACCAGTATTCGAATACTCGAGCACAAGTACTTCCTTCCTGCTTGCAGGTGCCTGTATTTCTTCTGAATTATCTCAGAAGGGGATGCGGCAAGTGGACCCCTTCACTTGCCTGTTCAAGCTATTATATTTTGTTTTCCTCTATTGAGTCCGGTCAGGAACGGCAGGTTCCGTGCGGTGTAATCTTGATTCGATACGAGATATCATGCGGCATGACAGTACGCCTCAGCCAGTGGTCTTAGGAAGGGGGGAAAGAGAGAGGGCCCTCTCTACAAGTAGTCCAAGCCCTGCACATATGTGGCTCAAGTTGCCGCAAAAAAAACACTTGAGGTATAGTATTAGTACCGTATATCACTGGTCCTAGAATCGTATGATAATTATTCTGCATGGCCAGAGGATGCCCCCAGTCAAAGACAATTCCAGAAGGCTTTCAAGCCAAACGCCCTAGAGAGCTTAAGCTGAAGATAAGAAAATTTTAGTTGGGATGAGGTGTTGCTGGGGGGGGGCTCGTTAATTTAATGAAGGGGGTATACTTCGAGTGTCCCCGATTCATTGATGCAGTTGTCAGATATCGGAGATGCGCGGGTTAGGATTAGGGTGTCTAAGACAGTCTATCCAGAGAACAAAGCCACGTTGTTGGCCTTTCACGGGATAGTAGAATGTCTCACCCTTCCATACTCAGCCATAAGCACATACCGGTACCGTGCCAGTACCCCCAACCCACTGCGGGGAGCGGCTCGTGTGGGGGGGGGGGGGGTTGAGGACTACATGATTTGCTTTTTTTTCTTGCGCATCCCCGCTCCACAACTACACCAGGAGATATCAGGAGAAGTTTCAATTGGTTAGAATACTGACAGCAGCCCGAGGGATGCAGAGCGCCCCAGAGGGGTACTGTGGTGAAACCGTGAACCCTGGGATTTTTCTTCACAAAGAATGCGAGAATCGGGGTCTGGGACATTGGGGCTGCGGCGGGAGAGCTGATATCCGAGCATAATATCCTGATGCCCATTATGTACCCCGCCACTGACTCTCCTCCAATGCTTGAGTGGGTGCCCACGTGCTATTGGAACGGGATTCATCAAATCAGATGTGGCGTGGTATAATTCTCTGAAACTTTTAGCCACGAACCATACCAGGTCGGCCGGCTGCGGGTGTGGAAAGCGCCTCTTGGCCCGTAGTACAACCCAATATACATCTGCCCAAAAGACTCAGTCAGACGGAACGGCACGAATTCGAACCCCATTTCTCACTAGCTCACATCTGTGCCTCACTCCCGAACCGTGGCCCTGGTTATTGCGTCACCTGGGCGCTCCCTATGGTGGTACGGGCTGGCCGATATTGATTGATTGGGTGGGCACTTGCTTCAAGCCCGGGTCTTCATCGTATATGCTATCCAGGTTGATATAACGGCACATTACTCCACGGAACCCACAATGCTCGCGCATACCACCACAACTACGGCCATCCTCAATCCACACAGCACCTTGTAGCCTGTCTCAGAAAGGCAGACGGTGCTAGCCAGCGGGATGCTAACCTATCAGCATACCGTAAGAAAACATCCATCCAGTTAGCCCGTGTTTCAGCCGTTGCGAGAGTTCTAGTAGGCTGCAGAAATCGACAACCTTGGTTACGATTATACCCCCGCTACATTCTTGGAGGAGGATACGAGGGACTGCTATAAGACCATGCTTTGACACTCCACTCGGGCCTACTCTCCTTCCCTCCTTTTCTCCATCCCCTCTCGTTCACCATTCTCCACATTTCTCACAGTTCGAAGTTCAGTCAGGATAACACACCCACTCTAGTTAAAATGCCCCACTCTGAACTCCCCGTCATCACTAGGGCCTTGACGACCCTCTCACACTCACGCTCTAAGAGCACCCTTCCCGAGAGCTACGTCCTCGAGGCAAGCTCAGCATCCGAGCCCACCGTCACCACAAACACTACATCGAATGACCAATCCCAAGAACACCCTCCAACGACCAGCGCCGGAACCACTACCGCAGCCACAGCCACTACACACCTTCTTAGCCACATACACCTCTCGTTCGGCGCGAATCCAAACTACCCAAGCCATCAGACGATACGCTACCTCCGCCACCCCATCCCCTCCACCACTCAACCACCAACGGCTACACCCAACCTCCACGATCTCCGCCAAAGCCTCCTAAGCTCCCACGACCTAGACCTCCTTCTACAAGAACAGCCCTTGGCGGTACTCATGCTGGACGAACACTCCGTCGAGAAAATCCCAATAGAGGAGTTCCTCCCAAGCCCATACTCTCCCCCAGAAGCGGACGAACACGAACAGGGAGCAGAAGAGGGGACAGTGCAGGATGCATATGCCATACAGAGATTTCTCAGTACAGGAATGGAAGAGGAGGCGAATGTGGTTTACGCACGGTATGTCGAGGGTTGAAGAAGAGAGGTGGAAGGGGGGGGGGGGGGTAATGACCGAACTAGTAGGGTTTTTATTTTTATTTTTATTTTTTTAGTCCGTTTTACATAAGAATCTAATGATCCGGTATCATATACTTGCGTGAGGTACGATACAATATCATATCATAACCAATATCGTACTATGAGTTTCTAACCAAAACCCCTGGTATCATACACAACCCCATCATTCCATAATTCAACTAATTGCGCTTTTCCGGTTAGATTCCACTAGCACTGTACGGTACAACTACCCGTGCAAGGTTAATCCTGAAACAGACATTACACTACCGGTATACAGCCTCATACCAACATTGCATTCGCCTAGTCCATATACGGAACCCCCACGCACACGAACAAAGATCCTTACATTACACATACTGCATACCATACCCCTTCCAGCCACGATTGATAATACCCAGTAATTGTAAACGCTTACATCGATCATATCAGATTGAGATAGGTAGATAGATAGATAGAGGGTTTACAATATGTCCCGGGGGGCACAGTATGATACCTAAACGGGCCCTTGCTGCTCTTCTCTTCTCTTCTCTTCTCTTCTCTTGTTGTTAATGGGTTTCATAACTTGTAGCTATTGATTGGGGTGACTGTACGGTACGGTACTGTGCGAGGAAGGAAGGAGGAAGGGTGTGTGTGAGAAATTTACGGACGTGGTGGCACTGTTCTGCACTGGTATCGTACTGTGCGGTACAGGACGGGTATGATAGCTGTGACCGCACATATATGGTAGAAAACACCTGTGCATTGACTTAGGGCACGTTAACCATGCTACCGGGATATCATAAGGGTGTTCATTGTCATAATGGCCCCCGAGCTCGCGGCTACCGTATTTATGAAGGCGAATTCCTGGAAAACGAGAATGGTATCCGCCCGTGCTCCAAGGTGCAGAAGTCAAGGCCAGGTGATACACAGCTCCACAGGAGTAGTACAGTAGGGTGCTTGCATCATATCCCACAAATGTAGTTTAACGCGTATGAACCGATATCCCAAAACACCAATTCCAACAATAGAAACAATACAAGGTGTGATATTTGTTGAATTTATTTATCAGCATTCTGTTTCCTCAATCAGAAGAAAGAAAAATGGAAAAACACATCTCCCGAAACGTTGTGGCTAGAAAATGAAAATGAAAACAGCTACAGCTCGCCGTGCCCCTCCTCTTCCTCCTCCTCTTCCTCCTTCTTCTTCCTCTCCTCCTCAACAACTCCGGCAGGCAACCTCTCCTTCGCACCATCACCTAGCCTCGTAGCGTCCAGCCAAGCAAGCACCTCCTCCTCACTGTCTAGGTCACCACCAAACTTCCTAAGCCACCCGCGGCGCGCGTTTAACGCAACCAACTTTGACCCATCATCGCCCACCACGAGCAGCTTCTCAGCGAGCTCCCGGGCATGGGTAGATCCGGCCGAGAGGATGTAGACTTTGAAAGCGCCGGCGGGACTGCGGGAGAGGAGTTTGTTGTAGACTTCTGCGAGGACATCGGTGGGCGCTGACGAGGAGACGATTGCCAGGATGCAGGTTTTTGACTTTGGTTGGAGACATGCAGCGGTGAGGGAGTCTTGGTCTTCGAGGGTGGGGATTACGGGTTTTGCTGCGAGGAAGGGTTAGATTTTCGCAAGAATTGTGTGTACGAATAGATAGATGGACTTGCGTTTCGGGGTTGGAGTTTCCTTAACAGTAGAGGTCTTGCTCTCTTGCGTACCACTCGAAGTCTCCTTTTCATTAGGCTCCGCCGAGGGAGAAGTCCCCTTGGTTAGTGGCACAGTGGCCTGGAAAAACTTTAGCAATGCATCCTTCGAGAACCCGTTGCCTTCATAAACTATTCCCTCCGCATCTCCACCTGGCAAGAGCACAACTGTGGGGTACTTGATAACACCAAAGGTCTCGACCGCGTGCTTCTCCTTGTCGCGGATCTGAGCAAAACCCATAATCCCAAGATAATCAATTGCTATAGCTTTCCAGAGAGGCGTGGTAGCACCTTTGTTAGTAAATAAGATCGCCTTCGCTGTTTCATTATTCTCAGAGAGGAAGTCGTCAAATTTGGCGTCAGTGACTCGGGCAACATGGTTCGGAATCAGCTCGGCGACATGGCTAACGATTGCACCGGCTTTCCGAGCACCCTGGTAGTCTTTTAAGTGTAAGCCGTTGGTCCCTTCCTTCAAAATTGGTCTCATTTTGCTCGCGCACCTTCGACGATGGGTTTCCCCTTCCTTTTTCCAGGCTTGAAGACCTTCAAGGTGGGGAATCCCTGTATCCCGTATTCTCCGCAGAGCCTTTTGTTCTTCTCTTCGTCGCAGTCAATCGCAGCTACCTTTGCGAGGCCCTTGAGGGATTTGGCGGCCTTCTCGTATATCGGTTTAAGGTTTTGGCAGTGCCCGCCTGCGGAAAATGTCAGCACACAAATCCACGCAATAAAGCCCTCGGAGCGAGGGGGAACTGACACCATGGTGCAAAGAATCTTTTTTATGGGGAAAAATCCATCTCAGCATCTTTCCGAACAAATCAAAACAAAAGGAGGGGGGGGGGCGTGAGTGGTTGGTGGGGGTTTTACTCAACAATCTGCCATCCTCAGTGACATTATTAGCTCACCAGCTCATCAACAGCTCAATTACAGCAGCAGCATCAAACGGGGCGGCAACGCACAGAAGCATGCTCAGTATTTAAAATCTCCTTCTCGAAATTTTTCGAATCAAGCATAATAACTCCGCTAGATTTTCCATAAAAAGCATTCGCGCTGCCAGCTAGGGCAAGGAACGTTGCGAGGGAGAGCTCTCGAAGGAGAACCATAGCGATGTATTTTTATCGCCAATAATGATGGGTTCAAGGGCAGTAATATTGGAAGAGGGGGATCGGGGACTGGATGGAGAGGCAGGCAGGGAAGTAGAGAGCTGGTAAAGGGTGGTTCACATAGGCAGTGTAAGTGCCACCTATGCGAGATGCATTCGGAGGTAAATTGTCGTGGGGTTGATGAGGACACCTAGAAACTTTTGAACAGAGTACAGGGGGGAGTCTTGGCATGATCTGATACTGTGGAAAGGGACACCGACAAGCCAGCATGAACTGCTATCATACCCCTAGATCCCATAGAAAAGGGGGTCGTACCCTAAACCCTTAAGGAACTTCCCGGTCGTACTGGGCCACCGGATTGCGGCCCTAAACACCGGCTTCCTATGATACCGCCCCCTCACTACTAGTATGATACCGTCGTGGTGCGAGTACCGTATCATACTGGCACAACTTCTGTGACCTAAACCAAGTCCTCTGGTACAGTACCGATAGCATAGTCCACATTATGATACCTTTTTTAGACCCTACACGGCATCCCGTGTAAAAAAAAATGAATCGTTCTATTGAACCCCAAATTCTTTTGGCCAAAGTGCCAAAAAAAGAAACCACGTTCAAATGTAGCTACCCTATGGAGACCTACAGGTTGGACCATATAAATAAGATATAAAGAAAAGCCCTAGCCGGAAAGTTAGAATACCCGCTCTGTATCCGAAGCTCTTTCTCTATAATATGCCAATCAGGGCTTAAGAAACCGGAGTATGTATGGGAGTGGTATCATAGTATCATATCTCTGGATAGGCCCATGAATGCAGTCGGTTTGAGTCTGAGCTCACCAGAAACTAGGAAGGCGGAAAAACTTTATTCCGCAATCTTATCAGCGTCTCGTACTGTAAGTTACCTGTTGTGGCATTGACTCCCTACCGCGCCCTGCTCAAACCATAACAAACCATCCGCTCTACCGCCCTAAAAGACCTTGCTGTTGGGTAAAAGAACAACTACAATGTCCGTTTACGCTCCCATCAAGAGGAAGCTCTATACCCTCATAATGCCCTTGGACCTCGAGAACAAGCGGATTCTCCTTGGTTATAAGAAAAGGGGTTTTGGTATGGGAAAATGTGAGTCACGTCTGCTCTTGTTTGGATGAAATTGGAGAAATCAAGGATATGGCTAACAGTAATAGACAATGGCTTCGGCGGAAAAGTGGAAGAAAATGAAACTATTCTCGAGGGAGCAATTCGTGAGCTACAGGTTCGTAGACCCCCCCGTCTTACCTACATCTGCGAAGCTGGGGCTAAGAATGATGAATAGGAAGAATCCTGTATCAAGGGTACAGACCTTTCATATCATGGAATCTTGTTCTTGGAAGCAATTGCAGATGCAACTCTACCGATCCTGGAAATCCACGTATTTGCCGTAACCAAATGGGAAGGAGAACCTGCCGAGTACTTACCTTCCCATTCCTCCTTTTCTTTTTACCTTAATTAAGTGACCCTAATCCCCTCCTTATTTAGGACCGATGAGATGAGACCGGAATGGTATTCAGCGTCCCCGGATTATACTGGCTCCGTGGTTGATGAAAAAATACCATTCACCCAAATGTGGGAGGAAACCGCGGAGTGGTTGCCTCTTCTGCTGAGCGCGTATTTTGGAAAGGACGGCAGTCCAGAGCATGGAAAACAAAAGCAATTGGTCCACCACGCCACTTTCGGAAGTGCCATAAACCCTGAGACGGGGCTAGAGGACGTCTGGCATGGAATGTTGGACAACTACTTTGTCTGGGTTGAGGATGAGGAAGGAATACCAAAGCTGGAGGGTTGGGAGAGCGAAGCACGCGGTGCTTGGGTGGAAGAGAGGAGGAAAAGGAGGTTTGGGCTTTAAGGGTCGCTTCCATAGTATATAGTCCATTTTTCCCGGCATTTACCACAATACATTTTAATGGAACAACCTTCCATCAACGAAATATCTACATTCTTAGGGATCAAGCCACGGGTGACTTTTCATGATGAGGACTATGAGTACTTTCGTCCGAACATCCAATTACCAGTACGGGGACAAGCGCAATAACGCCGACACCTCACCCAGTTTACATCTGCACTTGCACATGCAAGTGAGAGCAATCTTCCTGTGTCAGCAGGCCAGCATATTACTATCAAGGCGTTGATGCCGCAATGATGCTATCAAGGTGTCTACTCGAGCACGGTACCTTGGAACAGCAGGAAAATTTTCCTGCTATGATACCATACGTGGAACTGTGCTTTTACAAATTTTTCATCCCCCCAGCATGGCTGGTGCGAACCCGACGCCTTGGGGAGCCTTTCCAAGACCAGGCAGTGGCTATTCCACGTGACATCGAATGTTCCCATTGTCCGAGAAAGTGAAGCACTCTTGGGCGATTGCTCAGAACGCACTGCGATACAGATGCCACAGCTACCGTACGGTACCTCTGCCCTGGAGGTTTGAAGTCCTCTCTTTGAATTCGTTTTCAAGCTCCGGTGTCTCGTGCACGGATACCACCAACACAAGTTCGGTATCCTGGCAGTATTATATGATACTGCAGATCACGGGGATGCTGGCAGAAGATAGGGGCGGACGCGATCAGGCTCCAGAAAGAAAAATTCATATCACCACCGCAAAATACAAGATCGCCTACAAAGGTACCCCTCTAAACATTTGTCAAGATGTCATACTACAGTAATTTGTGCAAGTAAGGACTAGATAGACCTTGAGCGGGGAAACACGGATTAATGTCGCACCATGTAACCCCGACCGACGGCCCACCGTATTGCTCGCCTCAACAAGACATCCCGTCGGAGATAATTAGTGGATCGAAAGTCGAAGAACACCGGATCCGCTGTTGAAAAGGGTGACCACGTGCTGCCTTACCAGCCTCGGTGTTCCTGACCCTGAAGTCCAAATACAACGTCATTCCGCTCCCTCAGGTTCTCTCCCTTTAACCCCCAAGCGCCAAATACCATTCCCCATCGTCGTGTCTTCGCTTTACAGATCGCTCTGTCGGAATGTCGTTCCTATCACGCTTGAACCTAATCCCCCAATTCCCGACATACCCTGGCCCTTACCATGTTGGCTCATTCGAACTAGAGATCCCAGCATCGTCGCTAGAGCCTGCCGCCGGGGGGTCCTCGCCAGATGCTAAGGTCGAAACGGTACAGTTTCGAATTTTCTACCCAGCAGAAGAGACCGATTCGGCCAGTACAACGGGATGGTTTGGTAACACGGCAAAGAAACCCATCAGATGGCTTCCGGAACCATATCAACGGGAGTACCTGAGCGGCTACGCACGGTTTATGGGAGTAGGCTCTAGATTCGCGGAAATAGTTTCGTATGCTAACTCTTCCCCTCCCCCCGGATATCCCGGAATAACGCGGAACAATCCTAACCATGATTAATCATAAAATAGGTATCTTCCCCGAGCACTCTACTACATTTCATTACCAGCGGCAGCCAATGCACAGTTGTTAGGGGGAAAGTTGCCGGAGTTTAGATTCCCAACTATGGTTTTCTCGCACGGCCTTGGCGGAACGAGGCTCGCATACTCGCACATTTGCGGCTCTATCGCCTCCTATGGAGTGATAGTGGTTGCACCCGAGCACCGTGATGGCAGCGCGCCGGTCAGCTTCGTCAATGTGCCGGCGATGGAGACCGCCCACATCTCTGGGGAGAAGCCCGAAGCGGGACAACCTGGTATCAATGAAAACTCCACGAAGGCCTCAGTGAAGGATACAAATAGTAGGGTTCAAGTGGATTATAGAACTTATCCTCACCAAGTCTCTGAAGAAACAGAGAATGGGAGAAACCGGCAGCTTGAGATTCGTTTGTGGGAATTAAGCCTCGTTTATTCGGCGCTTTCCAAAATCGATATTGGAAAAGTCCCCGAGGACACGATTATGTCCGACGACGAAGGTGAAACCAAAGGGGGAATAGTGGGTCCTGAGGCAAAAAAACTGTTATCATCTTTCAAAGGAAAATTGGATGTTAAAGACCCGGGAAAGCTAATCTGGGCTGGCCACTCTTTCGGTGCTGCAACCATGATCCAGTTTCTCAAAAGCATCTATTACTCACCTCCGACAAAGCCATCAATAAGGCCCCTCTTTGCCCCAGATGCTACCCCCCCCCCAAATACCTTCGACACTCTACCGCTTGGCAGACAGATAACAGCCACGTCGCCTCTCATCCTCCTGGATCTGTGGTGCCTTCCACTGCTGGGCAAGCGAACAAACTACCTGTTCAAACAACCTCTCCCACAAATATCAAATAAGCCAAACCTTGTCCTAGTAATCATGTCTGAAGAGTTCTTCCGCTGGAAAGAAAACCTGCGCGGTGTGAAGCGCATCCTCTCCCCAGACCCGGGCCGGAAGAGAGGTACACCCCACCACGAAGTCTTCGAGAAGTGGGACGAGGAAGACATTGGAGATACTGGAGACAACGCCACTCACGAGGAGACACTAAAACGCTTCCATCCAGACAATGACCTCCTCTCACCATCCATACCATCGACCACTGAATTCTCCTCTGCTCCCGACCAAGGCGGCCAAATTATACCGCCAACAGCCACTCCTTCACCCACTCCGGAAAGGCAGCACGAGCACAAACATCGCGTAGCTAAAAATAGAGAACCGCGCTTTTACTATGTCAAGAAATCTGCACACCTATCGCAGAGCGACTTTGGAATACTTTTCCCGGTGGTCGTGCGCCGCGCCGAGAACCCGCAAAGGATATTAGATTTGAACGTCCGCGCTACAATCCAGTGGCTTCGCGAGGCCGGGTACAGCGATAGGCTCGCGAAGGCAGAACACTTAGAAGAGCTAGTCCATGGCTTACGCCTCGACTGCGATGACAAGGACAAGGGAGTAAAGAACAAGGAAGGCGATTGGAGGATATGGGAAGAGGGAGACACAGGTGTAGAAGGATGGGGAAGGATTGATCTTGAAGAGACGGACGTTCCTGAGGTCAAAACGTAGTCAAGTGAAAACCAAAACAATAAGACATTTATGGTAATTGGTTGGAGATACTCCGGTACATACAAGATTTCATGCCGGATTGGTCTTGTTCCTTTTTTTCCATTTTTCTTTTTCCCTCTTTCTCTTCCTCCACCATTAGTTTCTTTTTCTTCTGCTTGCACACCCTGCTCGAAGTGCGAAGAACAAGGAGATGAAGCCACTTGCACAAACACTGTTTTCCTTTGTTTTTCTGCAAGGATTATACATGCAGTTATATGATAGCTGGAAATCTATAGGTTGCCCTGTGCTCTGCCGGTATGACGTTTACTACCACTACGGCAAGTGCGAATAGGAAGAGGGAAAGCCTATGCAGTGAGATTGCACCACGATGCTCATCAACATTTGAGCCTTATTCTAACCTCACCTCTTGTCCCATTGCTCCACTCTTCGGGGTAACCATCTCTCTCTACCCATTAGCAGTTAGTCCTCTCTGTCCACCAACTGATTGTGAAAAATAGCAAGTGTCGTCACAACTCCTCACTCGCTTGTAGTAAATTCCAGTTCATTATCCTACATTAAGCTCGCCACGACATTATAATATCGTAACTTAAAATAAAAATAAAAACCCCCCCTCCGAAACCCACACCAGGCCAAAGGGGGGTGGGAGGAAAAAGGTGGGAGAAAAGAAAAAAATTAAAAATTAAAAAAAGAAAAGAAAGGAAAAGAAAAAACGAAACCCCTCCCATAGGCTGCCCAATGTAACTGTTTTCGGTTTGTTTCTTTCCAAGTCCGTTTGGCCGGCTATCAGTAGTGCCTCTTTCCCAAACATCCCGAGATACCGCAGGGAGAGAGGGCCTTCCCTAGTCGCATAAAAGCTCTGGCTCCCTTCCCCTGACTGGTACTAATCCGGGATTGTCCTCGGCCCAAACCCCCTCGGCGAGAGCAACATTGATCCGCTCGGGGGGGAATCGGACAGTCTGCCCCGCTGTGGGCTCCCCGGCAAGCCGAGTTCGGACTCTTCGCTCGGCGATAGTGAGCGAGCGAACATCCGGCTGCGGGAAAAATTTAGAAACGTATATTGGGCATGGCACGGAAGGAGAGAGTGAAAGGCCGCCGAGCCATTGAGGGTGGGGAGAGATGGGCGAGTGGGTGGCGGTGATGGCTGGTGATGGTGGGGGACTGCGAACAGTTGTTAGTAAGGTTAAAGACGAAAAGGGATTGAAGTGGGTGGGAGGGTAAGTTACCCTATGGGATATTCCTCCACACATTCCTCTGGATAATCGTCCGTGACGATTGAATCCCTCCCAGCATCGTATGCTAGTTCTCCTTCCTCAACTAGCTGTCCCACTGCTAGTAGGGGCGTACCAGTTGACTCAAACGGCCCCCGCAACGGAATCCCCAATTCTTTCCCCTCCTCTATCCCCTTCTTCTTCTCCTCCTTTTCCTCTACTTCTAGTTTCACGAACTGCTCACAAACCGTCGTTATCGGTTCCCCCCTCAATATCGCCATTCCCATCGGCGACGATACAAGATCCGCATTGGGCGAGAATCTAGTACTGTGCGTAGGAACCCGGGAGCCTCCAGTTGCAGGCATCATAGTGTACGTCCTTGTTGCTATTGTCATACCCATATCATCGTCCACAACCAAGACAAAGCAAAGCTCTTCCGAGTTTCCGTCTGGAAGAGTCCTTATGAGCCCGGTAGGAAGATAGTGTATCGAGGGCATGGCTTAGAGGTATACAGGGGAGGGGAGTGGAGAGGGATCGGGGGGGGGGTGAGATGGTATGAAGAAATGGGGGGTTGAGATTGTATGAAGAGCGAGGGGTGTAGTTGATGGTAGAGGGTGTTCGCTGTACATATAAGTATCTGAAGAAAAGTCGAGAAAGTATCATACAACGAATCAGGGTGGCTGTCTGGAGAACGGCCGATGGCAAGAAAAACTCTTTCAGTACAGGCTGAGGTTCGGGCTCTTCTCCTACCAAAGCTACATACCGCTTCTTCCTTTGTAAGAAGGCACACACACTCTCAACCGCAAGGCAAAATTCCCTAGTCTCTCTCTTCCAAAGTAACCAGTGCATAAGTTTTTTGACAACGCCCTACCAACATCAGCTGGTATTTCACCAGAGTTGAATTTAATTCACTAGGAAAATTTTCATAGAAAAAAAGAGTAGAGACCGTTGTATAGTACTGTACAAGTAAACTACCACCTTCGTTGATTGGTTCTCGTTTAGTAGGTTCCTCGGCTCAGTAAGAAGACTCTGACAAGTCGGGAACCCCGTCCAATCAGCAACATATATTGTGCTGCGCCACTGCTGCATGCGCAGTGCTTACTATACTCGTACAGCAGAGCTTCCGCTGTTCACAACAGCAGCTCCATGATTTTCTCCAGTTTCTTTCTTTTCACATCGACATCTAGCATCTGTCTATACAGATGCTCCCCTCACAGTTGTTCCCGCAGAAGAGCACATTTGCACCCGCCAACTACTATCTTGTAGCTTCCCTCGCTCAAGAATTTGCGGTTGGCCTCGAAGGGTGGGCTCTGCCCGCCTGCCACCGAGCCCTTAGCTTTATCGATCAAAACTCAGCCCTCATCACGGCCCAGATACTACCCCCAACTCTAGCCCTCTGTTTATCCCCCCCCCCAAAAAAAAAAGAGAGGGAAAGCGGACGTGCTTCCACAAGCGATAAACAAAAACCCGGAGTAGCCTTACCGACATGAGACGGAATAACAACAATAACAACAGATTACCGGTAGAAGGCGTCCTGGCGGCCACATTCCCGACTCCTCCGCCAGTCTAGTTGTGAACTCCCGGATAAGCGTTTCGTAAATTGCCAACGCTCACGCGCCAAAACCCAACGGGCCCTCCCCCGCCCAATCCAATGCCATATATCGGGCATCCCATCGTCATATTACCACAGAAATGTGCGTTCTAGAAATCCTCCTCCGCTTGTGCATCACGGCGTGTACAGCACGAAACCGCGTCCGAGAAACAGCGACGGAAACTTAGGCAGACAAATCACCCACCATCGAGCGAGAAGCCCCCTTCTCGGTCTCTCTCCATTGTTGCACCTCTAGCCCAGTCGGCCGGATGGGTTTTTCTGCGGTTTCAGGCAGCGAGAAAAGGGCAAGGCCAATTATCTCTGTTCTCCGAGAGCCGAGGCTACGAGGCGAGTGACCTACGATGATCAATTACTTGCGCCATACAAGCCTTTGCTTCAGCACACACAAAAAAGCATGGTTTCGCTGATCCCACCCGAGCGCAAGTAAACCAATACCAAGGGAACACGAAAGAAAGTTACACAAAGTAGCCCAAACGTTGCTCCACCAGCTGATAGAAAATATTTTTCATGGCAATGTCATAGCTAACAGCTATTCTGCTATCCTCGCCGGAGGCTTCAGTCTGCCCAGACAACAGAACTTCCACTTTTCTGATAGCCCCTCTGCAGAGCTGATAAAACGCCACGAGTGTTAAAGCTATTCGCAACAAGTTGGTCACCCGGAATCCTCTGCGAGCAATTGGGGAGCAAATATCTCAGAGTATCAGGGTGGCAATCTTACAGATTGCACAAACAAATTTCCGGAGGGGGGGGGGGGCTCTGAACAGCCACCCTATCGTATTTATTCAATCTCTCCTACGCCTCAGTCGAAAATAATACTTAAATACTCGGACCCTCCTGTGCCCTTGTTGATTGTCACACTGTTCATCGAGGATCACGATTCATATATGGTCACTCGCGACTGCTTTCCTTAGTCGGAAGATACAAATAGCAGGACTATACCCACACCGACAAACTCCAAAGGGTACGACTACTCAATAGGGGTCTCTCCCCCTCTCTGGCTCGGCTCCCTTTCCCAGAGAAAATATTTATCAGAGCAAAAAGAATGCATCTCTAGAGATTCCCGAAAGTGGGGGGTATGCATCCTCGCAAAGTTTTCCAGGGCATACATCCTACTAGTGCCATGCCCACTAACTAGGCCAACTTTCCCATCTCCCGATCCGAATCTCTTCTAGAATCTACTCTTCTATTAGCCCTACTCTCTTAGCTCAAGATCCTCCGAGTAGAAGATAGGATGATAAGACAGGTATCCGGAATAGCCGGTCCAGAACCCAAACTCCAGCTTCTTGCGTCCAAAGATCTCGCAAAACCTCCACCAAAGAAATCCCTCAGGTGCTCAATCCCGTAACATCTGCCCATCCAGCATATATCATGTGAGCAAGACCCATACCTTTGGGTGCCCTAAACCCTTCACCGTGTCCTGGTCCCATCTCCCACAAGTCCATTGCCGAAATTCGCCATATGCATATACCCCCGGCACTGTAAACCCATTTCAGGGTACCGCGCCTCCCCAGAGATGCCTTGAGGGTTATTTGTGCCAGCACTGCATCTCCATTAGAATCAACCCAGGCTTCACAAAGCTCTCGAGACTCATCAGCGCAAGGACATCGACCTAAAGCCTCGCCCCAATTCTGAAGATTGCAGGGCTGATACTTGAGCTACGATAGAAACCAAGGACCTCACGTGCAAAATAAGAATGATAATGATAATGATAATACCTCACTCACCCAAAATCACGAGACGAATAAAATATAAAGGAAAGAAAGCCCCGGGATGCGCACAGCTGCCTCTGCAATGATCAACTTTTGAGAGCCAGCTCCATGCCCGCATGATCCTAGACCGCACGCAATGCCCTGACCTGACCTGACCACGTTATATCCCACGAGCTAGATAGGGTTCCATTGAGTGAAAAAAAGATTTCAGTAGACAACAAGGCAAAGCCATACTCGGCTCAGTGCACATGGAGATTGTGCAAGCAGAACCTTCCCAGGACCTCTCGTACTGCCCCTAATTCAGTCACGCATTCCAGTCCGAACCAGAAAGTTCTATGATATGATACTAGCTTGTTAGAGCGGAGCGGCCGAATCCACTCGTCCAATATCCGAGTGGGCATGTTGGCCGTGGATTTCCCTTACGCCCTCAAATGCCTCGTCCTGGACCCTTATCCCTCCACCCCACAACCTGGGTTTTGGCTAAGGCTGGGAGTTATCCTTGTTTTTTTCCCACTGATCCTTACGCTGTGACTCTCGTCGGTTGTTCCGTCAATTAGGTTTGTCTGGGATGTTGTATTTCCTCGGAAGGGATAGTGCCCGCATGCCCTGTTCGTAGAAATGGAAATGGCCTATTGGTGGTATTTGCTTGTGGATAGGATGGTGTGCCTGGAGATAGCAAGCCGGAGAAGATGATGATTCACCAGTAATTGAAAGAATCCAGATATTCACGTAATATCTTCGTACGCATCATATACCGGGAATGGCAACTGTAAGAAAGAAGGTGGATGTCTACATAGAGCGATGTCACCAAATTCTATCCGTGATATCTAGAAAACTCGGGAGGCAGTTCCACCAACAGCCGGTAATCAAATATATATATATATTCCCACCATAATTTCCTCAATTTTACCTAAATCTCAAAATAAAGCCCCATCTCCAAAAAAAAAAAAAAATCATCGCACTCCATCCCACTGTGAATGATTGCGTTGTTGAATACGACAATCCCGACGGGAGATTCAATATTACTTGAGCGCGCTAACGCTTTGATACTATCGTACATAGTACATTGTTCGCCTTTCGCCCACTTCCTTGGCTAAGTAAGATGCCGGGCGTGGGTAGGTTCGTTTATTGCTATCCTGAGTTTTGAGTTATTTTCCTTATGATACTTGGGTATATAACGTACCCGATAGCATAGCGAAAAATATGGTACGACGAAAAATCCCGACATGCGATACTTATAAAATGGTTTGATAAAATGAACCCCCAAATCAAGCAAATACCAAGCAGTTAGGAAGGACTACTACAAGAATTATGTGAAATCAAGTTTGAATCTACCTCCTCCACCTATTCAGTAGCCAGTTTTCGCTGTTTTTCAACAATTTTTCGTTGTACCATACCTTTCGCCACGCCATCATTATATATATATAGCCCTCCGGATCCTGTATCCTTGGCTGGATGTATACCAATTACTGGGTTGTCCAGCATGTTCAGTGCTGAAGGGTTTTCCCACGGACCGGTGAGTGGATGCGAAACGGTGGAGGGAGGAGGGGGAAAAGACCCCAACTTACCGTTTCTTTGTCGACTAGAGAATACGTTCCATCGTTCCGATCTCTACCCTTTGCGTTCTCCCAATTTGAGTTTAGGGCGGGTTTTTCCGGGGTTATTCCAATGTATTTTGTCCTCGTCGCTCGCATTCACATCTGTTGCAATAATGATGAGGATCCTTACGAGTGATAAACTGTGAGCGGGCGGTCACACTGCTGGTGTCCCAGCACCACTAAATTATAGCCAGAAGGGGTGCCTGATTATCTGGCGAGGCTTGCCTGCCACTAATTCGTCAATTCGAGGGTTTCCTTTGTGATCTGTCTCAAATTCGCGGCAGAAAGCCTTCATTTATGGCCAAAACCAGGTCTGTTTCGGACTCTTGTTGATTTTATTGGAGATTTAACTTCAGCCCCCTGCGGTACTTTATTTCAACGTATGCTACAAGCGACCGGCTGATCTCACCAGATAGGGTGATAAGTCTCGATTCATCAGCAGTAGACAAAAAATGTCAACTCCTCCGAGAATTTATGACACCCAGATACCGGTATGGTATGTACCGTACCGGGTAAGCTAAAAGAACAGACGACGAGAACTAGAGGGGTGTTCCCTGTCACCCGCTGCCGTGAAACCT